ATGTACTAAAATAATGTCATTTTGGGCTACCGAAAAAAATTTATCTCCATTGACTGGAGAAATCATTTATCTTTATATTATATATAGCTGTTATTTGATTATTTACATGCATATTTTTTAAATAAAATATTTTAAATAATCTTATTTTTAATTTTTATCATATTTGTTTGCTTTATAATTCATTATGATAAAACTTAAACTTAATAAAAAAATCTAAAAATTAGAAATACTTAAAATAATATTAAGGATCAAAAATAAGAAAAAATGTTTGCTGAAATTCTATATAATAAAACTGAAATTCATTATTTTTAGGATAAATAATATTTCATTTTCTTAAGATGTGCTTGAATCATATTTTCTTTATTCTATTTTTTTATATAATGGTAGAAATTAAACACATAACTTAATACAAACTACTCAAACCCCTTATCACTAAAAAAAAAATATTTTTTATTGGGAAATGAATATCTATTATCCTTTAATTGATTTCTATTGATATAAATAAATAGAAATATTATTTCTGCAGTTAATGCAGATAAATTATCTGCATTTACTTCCAAAACGACGTCATTTTGGGATTGAAAGATTAGAAAATTATAATTATAAAGACTATATTAACCTTGAAATAAATTAAAATTATAAAAATACCATGATTTCCGTCCCAAAACGACGTCGTATTGGGTTTACTGCAGATAATTTATATGCAGTAACTGCAGAAAAAGCGAACCCATAAATAAATTTCTTAACATGTGTTCGATCATTCTCAGTATCGTTTATGGGATGAATTTAAAGCCTTAATATCGGGACCCGCCCGAATCGGACTAATCATTTCTTTATGCAACTTAAGAAATAAATAAATATCTTGGCAATAATATGCAACTTAAGACACTTTCATTTCTTTATGCAACTTAGGAAGTTAATTTTGAATATCATACTATTAACTTTGAGACTTAACTTATTTTATTTTTTTTGGTTGAAACTTTGAGACTTAACTTTGAATATCTTTGAATGAAATCCTAGAGTCGATATTAAAGATTCAAAACAAATTATCCATATGTTGAGAGTCCTTAAAAAAAAAAACTTACTTAAGAGACTTTTTTTTTTTTTTTTTTTGGTAAACACTTAAGAGACTTTCTAATATTAAAATAGACTAAAATGTTGAAAATATTAATCTCTTAGATGATGAAAGCATATAAAACAATAAAATCCGTAAAAAAATATTATATCATTTGTTTAAAATACTATAAAATAATAAAATGAAATAAACAAACAAGTGCTGTAAAATATATATGTGAATGATTTTTCATGTCTCATGATGATCCTTGAATTTCTTATTTTTTTAAGTATTGTGTAATCATCATATTAATAATGTTGGTTTGGGTTAGGGTTTATTATTCCTCTATTCTTGTTAGAGTTTAAGGATGTTCATCAACCGATCCAACCCGATTCAAACCGCGGTGACCGAACCGAAAAATCGATAACCGAATAAATTAAAAACCGAAAAACCAAAAACCGAATAAAAACTGCAAATTTTAATTGGATTGGATCGGTTTTTGAATTGGTAGATGAAATCCGATCCAATCCAAACCGATCCAATATATTAATTTTCCTCTACCTACTTGGGTCTTTCCTCAATCATGGCCCAAAAAATTTAAACCCAAGACCCATTAACTCATCAACTAAACCCAAGAAAAAACCTAGTCATATCTCATCAACAAAATTTTATCTATGTAGAGCTTCATATGTCATTGTCCAAAAAAAAACTATATTATCTGATGCTTTTATATTTAAAAAAATAAATTACAAAGCCAATATACACAAAAGATGTTATTTGCACAATAATCAAAAATAAATTTTAGAATTTTTTAAAAATCGAAAACCGATCCAATCCAAACCGAAAAAAATTGGATCGGATCGGATCGAATTTGAAAAAAAATTTAAACCGAATGGATGATTACATGATCAAACCGAAGGGATTGGATCAGATGATTTTTGCTTTCAAAATCGATCCAATCTAGACCGCGAACACCCCTATTAGCAATGTTATTAGAACCGGACCGGTCATTGACCCGGCCGAGGTACTGGGTCAATGGTTCAACCGGTGGATCACTGGTTGAACCGCATGATCTGGATATATATAAATTTATATTTTATACTTAATTATATAATAAATATTTTGAATGGTGTCATCTAAACAATAACCTGATGTAGTTTAGTGGTATTTGCTATGTTGTATATCCTCAATGGAAGGAGTTCGAATCCCATTGGATTCAATTTTTGAATTAATTCTCTTAACTTAATAGTTATATAATAATATATTAAATTGTGTATTTTATTTAACTGATGATGGTGGTCTAGTGGTTTGAAGTGGTGTTCCTCATTCCAATGTGTCGGGTTTGAATCCCATCTGCTGCGAAAAAATATTTTGTAGCTAATTTTAAAAACCCAGTTTAATGAGAAAACCGGGTCACTGGGTTAAACTAGGGTCACATACTTAAGCGGTCCAATGTCAGAACCAAATCGATTGATGGGCCGATCCAGTTTTAATAAGAGTGCCTATTAGAGTTATATATATATATATATATATATATATATAGTTTCCATAGAAAATGAAGAATAGGAATTTGGTGATATTCTCGTACTTTGTCAAGTATTTATACATTGAATTTTTTTCTCTATTCTCTTTATTTTTTTATCTCTGTATTTTATAACACGTTATTAACATAAATAGTTTCTACAATTCCAACTAAGGGTAAAAGATCTTAAAATAAAAATAAAAAATCTGTCTTAAAAATATACTATCTTAATGAACATTCAAGGGCATTGTTATGAAATTAATAATTAAGTATAATCATTGATATCAGGCCAAATATGTTATATGTGAATATTATATTCTTTTTCTTTATCTGAGTTTTTATCCACCTGTGTTTTTTTTTAAAGGCTTTAACATGACATGTTCATAATCATAGTCATCCAAGTGAAGGTGTTTTAAGATATATATGCGGATGACCTTTTATATACCTTATGATTGAATTTCTTTATGATTTTTAATGTGTTGAAGTGTAATTATTCTCCTATTAATGTTTGGAGTTATTTAGTGATATTCTTATACTTTTTTAAAACTTCATACCTTAATCTTTTTTTATTTTCTCTCTTTACCTCCCCTTGTCAATTTCTCCTATTTCATTTTATAACAAAAACGAGAATACGAGTCTCTTATAATTTTTGGTAATTCTACACTTAAAATTAATTTTAATAATATTATTCAAACAATATTTATTTTATTAAGTTAACTTCAGCGGATAAAAATTTTCATGCTTAAATCAGTTCACGACAAGTCACCAATACCAATTACCTAAAAAAAAAAAAAGTCACCAATACCATTGACTAAAAATAATTTCATGAAATAAAATCCAAACATACTCTCTATGCAACTGAATTAATCAAATTCTCGTTGTCAAATGTGTATATTTTTGCATCTAGACTTTTAATTATCGTATGGTTCAAAATTCCAGGGCAAGTGGATCCATGTAATGGTCCATACCAGATTAATAGAATAATCAAAGAATCAATAGATATATAAAAAAAATTCAGAATTATTCCAGGTAAAGTTTTTTTTTTTTTTTTTTTTGTAATAAGTATAGAGCTCATCACTAGTTGAGTCACAATATGAGAATCTTATTATCATACAATATGAGAAAATCAAAGCTCATACGTTACGGGAAAAACACTTCTCATGTTGCCTGAGAAGTGTTTTCTCATGTTGTGATCATTCTATTTACGTGCAATTTTTTTTTTCTTTGTTCCTTTTTCAATAAGTGCAAAATCTATCACTAATTGAGTCACAGTATAAAATCCTATTTTCATGTAACGTGAGAAAATCAAAATCCATATATTATAGAACTAACTAATATCAGAACCAGCTCGTACTAGATTCAGTTATATTTTATTAGAATAGAGAGAATAATAAACCAAGCAAATGAATGGTATTTAATTTTCTTTTTGTTCTGAAGTAATTTTCATCAATTATCACTATTTTTATTAATAATATCTGAGAGATAATTTCATTTTACAAATGAAATATCTTATCTAAGAAAAATAATTAATTCAATACTAGAATAAAAGCTTTAAAAATTCATAAATAAAATTTATTTAATTTAAAAATCATTCCTAGTTTAACTCTTTTTTTGTGTGTGGACATTCCTAGTTTAACTCTATATATGTAGAAATAAAAATAAAACATCGTTGAATTTGAATGATTTTAATTTCAAAATAAAATCAATTTCACTTCTCAATATTTCCAAACCATTACGAATCACAAATTTAAAAACTGATCTAATTTAATAAATAAAATAACTTATATAAAATAAAATTCCAATAACCAAGATGGATTCGAGTTTAAAATAAGATTCCTTGATAAAAAATTTATACAATAATATTTATTTAATTTTAACATCTTTCTTATTTTGATTCTCTATATGTTATCGTAAAAAGGAAAATGAGTTTAATATTTCTTATATTTTTAAGAGTATTAAAATTCTTAAAATTTTAACAGCAAAAAATTACTCGGTGTTGTAGAGGAGAGAAAAAAAAGAATAGTGAGACCTAATTTTTTTTTGTGTAAGAAAGTTGTTTATCTCATCTAAATAACCTATTATTTATAGGAAAATATACTCTTATGTTGTAGGAGAGAATTTTTCTCTCCTACACATACATCGATTTCCGTGTTACTTTTTTATTTTCTTTTTCTTTTTCTATAGGGGTGGATCCCACACATGATTATCTCTATTGCATGAGAGAGTTCTCTCCTATTGCATAAGATTAATAAAGCCCATTATTTATAGGTAAAAAAGAACTGTGTAATGATTGTCCGTTTATTTTTCACAGGCAAAAAATTTCCTTCGGGAAGATTCGTGGAATCACACAGACGACAAGTCAGAGAGCGCTGTTCGTGTTAATACCTGTTATATAAGAGAACGTGACCACTGAGCAACGCTTATGTAACCTTTCATTTCTCTTATCCCTCAACTCTCAACTCTCAACTCATGACATCTCTTATGTAACCTTCCATCCAACACTGAAACATTGCAACTCCTATCATTCATTCATGGTCAGTCATAGTCATAGGTTATGCTATCGTGGTTTGTTTGTTGGTTTGTTTGTGACTTTGTGTTTTGTGTTTCCTTTTTTTAATGTTAATTGTTCCCTTTGTATGTCTGTTTTTTTCTTTTTCTTTTTTGCATACTTGTTCTGTTTCAGAATCTTTGCTGCTTACACTTTTTTTTTGATATGACTGTTTTGGTTTGATGAACAGAGCCACTCTTTGAAGCGGTTTCGGTGTCTGTGAGTGTTTTTTTGCTGCCATGGATCCAAACTTTTGTGGAAGCAGGTACGAATTGGATGATGAAGGGAACATTGTGATAATCTCTGATCCAAACGATTGGGATCTCAACGGACACCACCGGAACCTTGTTGATTTTACAAGCTCCGATGCTCCTTTTTATGAACCCGGTGGGGACCCACTTAGTTTTGCTCCGTCAGAACCGGTTGTTTCATCCGCGGATGGCCCCTTTGCAGCCATGGCCACGGTGGCGGATCCTTCTCTTGAAGACACGGACTTTTCAGAAACTGTCAGGTACATAAGCCAAATTCTTATGGAAGAGAACTTTGAGAGGAAACCGTGCATGTGTTATGACCCTCTGAGTCTGCAAGACACTGAGAAATCGTTCTATGATGCTCTGAAAGCAATAGAGCCTCTTTCCCCAAATCAACACCCTCTTGACATTCTTGAGGGTAATTGTTTTACTACTGATTCTGGGAGCAGTGCTAGTTCTAACGAGTTGAAGCCCCCTTCACCTGATACACCTGTTTCTGGTGTTTCTTCTTTGCATTCCATTTCCCACACGCCTTCTCAACTTGTTTCTCCGCATGATTTGAGTAATATTAGTGATGGTGCGTTCGATATGGATTCTTCTGTAAGCAAGCTCTTGGCTCAAAATATCTTTAGTGATGTAGACTCTATGTTGCAGTTTAAAAGAGGGTTAGAGGAAGCTAGTAAGTTTCTTCCTCAAAGACCTCAGCTTTTTACTGGTTTGGAGAGCAGCACTGTGTCTCCTGAGCCAAAGGGAGAGGATGCTACTAGGGAGAATTCACATGAGTTGAAGAGTAGAAAGAATCATGAGCGCCAAGGTGATGATGGTGAAGAAGAAGGAAGAAGCAACAAGCAGTCTGCTGTTTGTGTTGAGGAGGAGAGTGAAATATCTGATATGTTTGACCGTGTGTTACTTAGTATTGAAAATGTTCCACTGTGTGCTGAACAGCAGGATGTATCAGTTATAGATAGTAGTAACACACACTCAAGTGAACATCCACATTCATCTGATGGAAGGAAGTCTCGTTCCAAGAAACAAGGGAGGAAGAAGGAAACCGTGGATTTGAGAACCCTTTTGGTTCTGTGTGCACAAGCTGTGTCTGCCAGTGACACCAGGACTGCTAATGAACTGCTAAAGCAGATTAGGCAACATTCTTCACCGTTAGGTGATGCATCACAGAGGTTGGCTCATTACTTCGCCAATGGCCTAGAGGCACGCTTTGTTGGTGCCAGTACTGGAACCCAAATATTTTATATGAGCCTCAAGAAGATCACCGCTGCTGATTTCCTGAGAGCTTACCAAGTTTTTATATCTGCTTGCCCTTTCAAGAAATTTGCACATTGCTTTGCAAATAGAGCAATTATGAAAGCAGCTGAAAAGGCAGAAACCCTTCATATTATTGATTTTGGTATCCTGTATGGTTTCCAGTGGCCAATTCTCATCAAGTTTTTATCAAATAGAAGTGGGGGGCCTCCCAAGCTACGCATCACCGGAATAGAGTATCCCCAAGCAGGCTTTCGTCCCGCAGAAAGAATTGAGGAGACTGGTCGTCGTCTAGCTAACTATTGCGAGCGTTTCAATGTTCCGTTTGAGTACAAGGCCATAGCATCACGAAACTGGGAAACCATTCCAATTGAAGACCTTAAAATTAAGAGCAATGAGGTACTTGCTGTGAACTGTCTGGTAAGGTTTAAAAATTTACTCGATGAGACAATTGAAGTGAATAGTCCCAGAAACGCGGTTCTGAATTTAATCAGGAAGATAAATCCAGATATTTTTGTTCAATCCATAATAAATGGATCTTACAATGCCCCTTTCTTTGTCACACGCTTCAGGGAGGCACTGTTCCATTATTCTGCTGCTTATGATATGTATGATACTCTCATATCCCGTGACAATGAATGGAGGTTGATGATTGAGAAAGAGTTTATGGGCCGAGAGATTATGAATGTTGTGGCATGTGAAGGTTTTGAGAGGGTTGAGAGGCCCGAGACATACAAACAATGGCAGGGTAGGAATGCAAGGGCTGGTTTTAGGCAGGTCCCACTGGATAAGGAGCTAATGTCCAAATTTAGGGATAAGTTAAGAGAATGGTACCAGCATCATAGAGATTTTGTCTTTGATGAAGATAACAACTGGATGCTTCAAGGTTGGAAGGGCCGCATTTTGTATGCTTCCACTTGTTGGGTTCCAGCATAATGATATGTTACTGAACTCTTATACCTGTTTCGAAACTCAGACTGGATTAAAGGTATGATTCTAACAATCACCTATAGGTTTCTAATCTTTCCACTTTTATAGTTCGTTCTTTTCCCCTGTTTAGATTTGGGTTATAATCCTAGTAATACTTAGCTGTTACTTTAGTTATTACAGCATTTATGATGTAACAATGAAAAGCTTATTGTTTTCTTTTGATGGTTTCAGGTCCTGGTATATCTGCTATGCCCTATTTGCTTAATCTTCAGGGATTGTGATGACTATTCTTCTCGGCTTTGCACCATGCAGACTCTGTAAAATTGTGGCAGATCTTCTTTCCAGCTTTCCACCAAATCCTACAATGATCAGGAGGGCCTGTTAGAGTAGGAATTCCCTTCTAGGCTTTTAGTTATGTTTGTCCGAACATTAGCAATCAAAATGTTGATATTTTTTTCCCTCTCTGACCGACATGTATTATAAGCACTTCACATCTTATATATAAATTGGTCTAAGGTTTTTTGCTGGATATCTTGTCTCGCAAGATAAACTAGCTACTGAGTTGACAGTTTTGATTAATTTGAAACAAATGACTATTTCAGTAGTTTTACAGTGACAATTCTTGCTTCTTGTTTCTGTCTTTGAAATTTCATTTTAACACAACGTCTATGAAGTTTTTCAATTCCCAATCAAAGCATCTCAATTGGAAAAATGGCTTGTAATTTGCTCCACTGGAAGGGAACTTCATATCTGTTGTTGTATAAACTAAAATACTACTTGGATGCAAATGCTGACATATGGCAGCTTCTAAACTTTTTTTCCTTGACTAAACTTGCACCACCTAAAATACAGTTTGAACATCCTAAAAAAAAAATTAATGCTGTAACATTTTTGGGATGCCGTTTGGTTGACTAATTTTGATATTTTTCAAATTAGAGATATTATAGGATTGAGTATTGGCCTTTGAAGCTGATGCAATTAAGTGCTTATTTCCTTTCCAAAAGAAAATTTCAAATTCAATCTGCTATGTGTGAGTGTGACGCATTCTTATTTTGAGTACCACTGCAAAAGTGATGAGTATATCTCTTGGTCTGAACCACAAAGCATTGCTCAGAGATGTGGTGTAATACTTGTTCTGGACCAGGAAGCTTTTTTCTTTCTTTCTTTCTTTTTGTGATCTCATTTTCTTGCCTGCCATTAATTTGCTGCTCATATTGTGAAATCTGCTATATATTTCCTGAGTTTTCCCATTAATGTCTTTCTCTTCTTGACACAACACACTAGCATTAGGATTCCCCTATCTCTGAGGACATTGCACACCACACAATTTCTTTTATAATTATTGATTATAATGGTTCAAAATGTTTCTTTTATTGGTTGCTTCTCTAACATGTTTTGTGCTTGTAAAATGTTGATAAATTTTCTTTCCTTTTTTTAAATGAAAATTCTTTAAAATGCTACATTACATATGTAACATCCGGGTAAGACAGATATCTTTTTGACTGCGTTGGAGAGAAGTATTGTCCTTTGGTGGTCAAATTATTCAATTTCATGGCTGAAAGGTGTAATATAAATATGTTATCTTTCTTTTTATTCTACTTTGCAACAATTATTGGACTTTTGATTGATTTCTGTTTGGTTTGAAGGATTCTTGTTTTGTAAGTGTTCAGGTATGGAACCGAACACTTAAATACTTCTATCTTGACAATTTATCAATCCTGTTGGCACTGCATCTATTCTTTTGGGTTCTCTTTACTTGGGTTAAGATTTCTCGCAGACACTTGTGAGATTATAGATTACCTCTAGTTTTTATCAATGTATGTCTCCAACGATAGTTCATAAACAGGAGATTAGATGCTGTTTACTTTCAATTTCAACGTGGTTTAATTTTAAAATTTCCAAGAGGAGAGACTGTTGTTTACTTTCAATTTCAAGGAATTTTGGATGGCATCTATATTTACTGATCTTCTCCTCTACCTTTTCTTTTATTGCTGCAGTGTTTATTTATTATTTTTTTGGTACATGCTTATTGAACCTGTAGATCAGACACTAGTGCTTCAGTGTTTCATATAAACTCTTACAGAATAATATAAATAATTAAAAAGGCCTTCACCCAACACCTTAAGGTTTTGGGTTGAGATGGTGGTTCTTTATATGGTATCAAAGCTTGAGTGACTACAAGGTCACAAGTTCGATTCTCACCGCCCCCACTTTCTAGTGGAATTAATTAAAAAGCATAAAAAAGGTAAACAAAAAATCGGGCCTGTGCAATATCCACAAGAGAATAATATAAATCATTAAAAAGGCTCTCACTCAACACCTTAAAGAAGTGTTTTAAACCCCGCCCCACCTCGGGGTCAATCCCTCCGGGTCAATGACCCCCTCTCTCTGAGGGTTCGGGTTAGTAGTTAGACCCTACTTGCATGTTGAACCCTCTAACTCCTTAAACCTCCCGGTTGAACTCTTGACTCCCGGGTTATAGGGGTCATTGCATTTTTTTAAAAAAAATTATACACAAAATAATGTCATTTGATGTGGAAAACAAACAAAAAAACTCATTGGTGTCAAAATTTAGAACTATATCTGAAATCTGAATTGTTCTTCATCTTCTCTTCTGATTTTCTCTCCCTGACTCAAACTCAGTCTTCCTGTTCCGGTAATCTCCTCCACCATGCTGATTCTTCTTTCTCCACCGTTAATTTGTTGTGTCGCCGCCTTTCCTCCATTACTATCTATTGGGTAAGGGATCTCCTTTCACATACTATTGTAGGTGCATGAGAAGAACAAGAAGGGCCTGAGTTTGAAGATATAACTTTTCATTAATTGCATTGGAATATGTGTTTTATACTTTGATAGTTTGATTAGCTTGTGAATATTGATTTGTAGATATAATTGGTTGAATTATGTTAAGTATATTTTGAATCTTTAATGATTGGTGGTTTGATTTTTTTGAATTTTTCATATAGAATATATATTTATCTTTTTTTAATGTATAAAATCAGGTCAGCGAAGTAACCCCGTGACCTCCCGGTTGAACTCATGACCCCGTGACCCCTGACCTCGGCCAGATCGATGGTCGGGCCGGGTTTTTAAACACTGCCTTAAAATTTTGGGTTGAAGTGGTTCTTTACATAAACAATCAAAACTGTGGGAGGGTAAATTTTAAAGGTGAACACATATACATAATTTCGTACATCTCCAATTTGTATCTTAGGGCATGTTTGATGCATAGTATAGGATAAGGCTTGATAGTATAAGACTTGATAGTATAAGGCATGATTGTATAAGACCTGATTGAATTTTAATACTATCCAGCGTTTGACACGTTATTGTATCAAATAATATTTTGTATAAGATAATATCATCTAGTATTTGGTAATGCACTGTATATATATATGATAAAAATAAATATTTTTAATAAAAATATCATTTAATAAATTTTTTATATAATTCTTCAAAAAATGTCATATGATATTAATTTTTATAAAAATTTATTGATCAGTGTGTGTCCAAAATATAAATTAATTTTTATAAAAATAAAAATATTCAATATTTTAAAATTAATATATTGAAAAATTAATTTTTATTTTAATAGATTAATATTAAAATAATATATTAATTTTTGAGAATTACATTGGTCAACGATGTTAATACATCATTTTCTTATCAGGCCTTATCCGTCACCTTTAGGCCCGATTAAGTTATACATCGTTTTGATATATTAAGGAATTATGCTGTATAAGCTTATACTATACGATAGTCATACCAAACAACTGAAAATGTCATAACGTATAGTATAAACTTATACTATCATGCCTTATACGTCACACCATACAGGCCCTTAGCCAAATTGGAGATTATAACTTTTTTTTCTATTTTGATCAATAATTCATTGATTATATACTTATTGTGGCAAACTGTGCATGTTGGATCAATATTTCTCTCTTCAACATTTTTTTTGTTAATGTTTTTTTTTGGAAAATTGAGAGAATCTTAATTTTGATTCTTTATTTCGATCCTCTTGTCCTCCTTACACCCTTGCCAAAGGTTAATGCATCGGAAGTCAATTATAGCGATACTTCCTAGAGTGCGTGATTCTTGAAAATATCTGCCTTTTGTTTCTCGGGCATGGATTGGTTCTTTATTGAATGTCACTTTCCTCTACCCCATGATTGTTATGATTGATTTTGATTGTTATGATTGTTTCTGTCTTTGAAATTTCATTTTAACACAACGTTTATGAAGTCTTTCAATTCCCACTCAAAGCATCTCAATTGGAAAAATGGCTTGTAATTTGCTCCACTGGAAGGGAACTTCATATCTGTTGTTGTATGAACTAAAATACTACTTGGATGCAAATGTTAACATATGTCAGCTTCTCAACTTTTTTTCCTTGTCTAAACTTGCACCACCTAAAATAGAGTTTGAACATCCTAAAAAAACTTAATGCCGTAGCATTGCTGGGATGCCGTTCGGTTGACTAATTTTGATATTTTTCTGATTAGAGATATAATAGGATTGAGTATTGGCCTTTGAAGCTGATGCAATTAAGTGCTTATTTCCTTTCCAAAAGAAAATTTCAATTTCAATTTCAATTTGCTATGTGTGACGCAGTCTTATTTTAAGTTTCACTGCAAAAGTGATAAGTATATCACTTGGTCTGGACCACAAAGCATTGCTCAGAGATTTGGTGTAATACTTGTTATGGACCAGGAAGCTTTTTTCTTTCTTTCTTTCTTTTTGTGATCTCGTTTTCTTGCCTGCCATTAATTTGCTGCTCATATTGTGAAATTTGCTATATATTTCCAGAGTTTTCCCATCAAGGTCTCTCTTTTCTTGACACAACACACTAGCCGTAGCATTCTCCTGTCTCTTTGAGGAGATAAATTTATAAATATAGTATATAATCATCCCACTTCTTCATAGGTTGACAAGCCCATATGTAGCAAGTTGCGAAACCTCCTTTCTTGCAATAATCAAGTTATCCAATCTGATTACACATCAGATTGGATACCTTGATTATTGCAAGAAACAAAATTTTGCAACTTGTTACATTTTATAGAGGAGTGAGAGTATGAGTTCAATCCTCAGTATCATTTTTGGAAGAGGTTTAAAGCCTTAATCCTGAACCCGTCCTGAACAGGATTGCCTTCCGTAGAGGATACTTGTGGTTTATTCAAAAAATAATATTGATTAAAGTATTATGAGCTTATTCTGGTTTAGTATGAAAAAACACAGGGAGCAAGTAATTAACAAAATAATTTATCATCAACCCACCAATATCTCATGGTAAATAAAGGTATGAAGAGCTTCTCCAGTCGTAGTCTGTCTTTTGCGGTGTCAAATACCTATTTCAGAACTCATACTGGATTAAAGGTATGATTCTAATAATCACTTATAGATTGCTAATCTTTCCACTTTTATAGTTTGTTCTCTTCCCCTGTTTAATTTTGGGTTATAATCCCTGCAATACTTTCTTGTTACTTGAATTAGTACAACATGTATGATGTAACAATGAAAAACTTAACCTATTGTATTCTTTTGATGGTTTCGGCTCCTGGTATATCTGTTATGCCTAATTTG